GAATTCTTGATTATAAATCCAGGAAGCTAACAACTAAAGGAGGATTCTTTTAACTTTATTTTGCCACATTTGGTAACATAATTGTCTGAAAATACTTGTCTCTGAAAAACTAAAAGTCAATGAGGATGAAATTTGATATATTAACCTTTCCTTTCTGCTTGTCAGTAATGGGTCAAGGGAGTCAAAAGAAAGGGTTGGGTAAGAGTTAATGTGTAGTCTTAAAACACATTTTTGCATTGAGTTCTTCTGAGTGAACAAAGTTATGTGGAAGGTGTCAGAACCCTTGAAAAGTGGCTTTTCTAGCCATTGTGTTATATTAGCCTGTCAGGGGCTTGATTTCCAGCTGCCTTAACTGTGGACACATAGTCTTGCAAATCATTAACAGCTGTGGGGCCATTATAAGAAAGTGCTTTTCCTTACTGTGAGAAACGGCAGTGATGGCGGTGGGTAGATTGTGAAGACACTGTGGTTCTGCTGTAAAGAGATAGTGGTTTAACGAGAGGAACCCTGGATAAAGATTTTACTTGCCAGATAATTGAAGGAAAAGCTGGCTTATAACTGTTCTGAGATAAAGTTTGCTGGATGATTCAGAAAACCAGAGGCTTCTTAAATTTGTGCTGTTGAACTGAACCTAAAATAGACTTTCACTAATTGAGGAATTACACCTTGTACAGGATAGAGCAGGCTTTAGGGCTGTTGTACATAGGGTTGCTATGAGTCACAGGCAACTTGATGGCACATAACAACAACAATCTAGTTTGGAACTGCTGGACTACATCTGGACTTGCATTGTGAGATATACTTTCCTCCCCCACTCTCCAACTTATTTCCCTAATAAACCACACAACTTTGAGTGAAGTCTGAGTCTTGCAAATGAACATCGGAACCAGTGATTGGTAAAAATAGGTGGAGCAGCATGTGTGGTGGCATGTCTTACCAGGTAGTTTATTTGTATGGTACTAGGGATATTATTATTGATGAGGAAAGTTCCCTGTTAAGAATTGGGTAGAAAGCGCTCTGCAGTCCCAGATGTCTACAGTTCGAATGCACCATATGCTCTGCTGGAGAAGGAGGGACAATCTCCTCCTGTACCAGTCAGAGCTGATTTGATGGTACGTGCAAAAAAAATTAAATAAATAAATAAAAACAAAATAAGTTAGAAAGTCCACCTTTCTAAACTCTGTTATGACCTGTCATCTGGCAGCAGTGTGACCTGGTTGCTTACCGTTCATGTGAATCTCTCACATTCTTCTCTGCCCCCATCTGGTGACAAAAGAGAATGGTGTGTATTTTTTAGAAGGAAAGCTTTAAATTTAAAAAAAATAAATAAATAAAAATTGGGTGGAAATCAGACTTAACCACCCCCACAAGATGCTCTGTGTCTGTGTGTGTGTGTGTGTGAGAGAGAGAGAGAGAGAGACTATAGAACATATTACTAAAATAGGGGGGAAAGTGTATTTTCAAAATAGAAATTGGTAATACATCTTAACTATTACTGCTAAGCTTCTTGAATGTTTTCCTAATAAAAAACTCCAGTATTTTCATTTTGGTTAAGTTATAAGTCAATACCTAGCCTGTGATCATGACAATATTGCCAGAATGTTAAAGACAAGCCTGAGCACCGGAAACCTAGGGGAACAGAGTTGCAGTAGACGTGGTAGTCTAGGGAAGTAGGAGGGTGGAAAGAAAAACTAAAGAAATGGCTTACGTGACCTGAAGAATTGGGAAAAATAGAAAAATCCAGGGAACCTGCTTATCCACACCCACATAGTTTTTTTGTTTTTGTTTTTGGTTTTTTGGGTTTTTTTTTTTTTTACGTTTGTTAAAACACAAAATCATAAGAAACAGCAAGCCTCAGACATCTGAAAATATTGTCTAAACATCTAAGGGGTCTTGTTCTAACCTCTAAAGACAGCCTAGGGTGCTTTTCAGAAGACAAGACTGGATCACACAAATGCGTAGCAAGGGGTTACCTGACCAAGCACGGACTAAGAGAGAGAGAGCTCCAGAAGAGCTGAGCATTTGTTTCCGCCAGGCCCTGCATGTTCTCCTCTGGTGATTTTCTTACTCTCTCATGTATCTACTAAACTATCCCTATTCTCTAATCAATTTGGCTTTTTCCTCCTGCAGAGTTAGTAAGTCTACCTTTCTTTTTTTTTTAAACTTTTTAAAATTAATTTTAATGAAAGTTTACAGAGACTTTGGATTTCCATTCATTCATTGCTGCACTTTTTTTCCCCTGCCCAACCACCCCCAGTTCACTCTTCTCTTTGAAAAGTAAAAGTCCTTCATTGTTACATAATCCCTCCCCCCAAGTCCACTCAACTCTTTCATTGTTATACAGTCCTTCTCCCCTAAGTCTACTCTACTATGCAGCCTTTGTTGTGGGCTCCTGTCATGACAAGAATACCTAATCATATATATCCCTTTTAAACAGTTTTCTCCCTCATCTGTTTCAATGCAGTATACATAATTTATTCCATCTTTCTCAGTCTCCCCCCAACGCCTATGTCAATCCTGTTTTACAACAGTGGTACTATGCAGTATTTGTCGTTTTGTGGGTTGAGATATTTCCCTCAGCAGGATGCAGCATAGTATTCTCTTTGTGAATATACCACAGCTGCTCCATCCATCCGTTTGTTGATTGCGCTTTTCAACTCTTTGCTATTGTGAACAAAGCTACAATAAACATGGGTGTGTATATATCTGCCTGGGTGGCAGTTATGGTTTCTTTGGGGTGTGTTCCCAGTAGTGGAATTGCTGGGTCAAATGGTATTTCTTTTTTTTTTTTTCTTTTTCTTCTCCCTGCCTCTTTTTAAACAGTCCCTCCGAAAGGACTATCCACTTAGCTTTGTATCCAAAGACGAAATTTGTAGGTGATAGGAGTTAGCCTTCGTTACAGACTGGTTAATTTCAGGGTCGAAAATATGGAACGCTTCACGAATTTGCGTGTCATCCTTGCGCAGGGGCCATGCTAATCTTCTCTGTATCGTTCCAATTTTAGTATATGTGCTGCCGAAGCGAGCACTCATATGGTATTTCTATTTGCAACTTTTTGAGAAAGCGCCATACTGTCTTCCATACTAGTTGCACCATTTTACACTTCCACCAACAATGAATAAGGGTTCCAGTTTCTCCACAACCTCACCAGCATTTGTTGTTTGCTCTTCTTTTAAACTTTGCTATTCTTACTGGGGTGAGATGATACCTCATAGTTGTTTTGATTTGCATCTCTCTCAGAGCTAGCGATTTTGAACACTTCTTCATGTGTTTGTTCGCCATCTGAATGTTTTTGGTGGTCTGTTCATATCCTGTGCCTGTTCTTCAGTTGGGTTGTTCACCTTTATCTTGTTGTGATGCTCAAGTATTTTATAAATTCTACATATAAGTCCCTTATCTGACATACCATTGTTGTTATGTTCCATCGAGTAGCTTGCAACTCATAGCGACCCTATGTACAGCAGCCCTAAACTCCGCTCTGTCCTGTGCCAATCACACCATCTCCGATACATCCATCCTAATAGCCCCAGTCACTGAATCAGTCCACCTCATAGAGGACCTTCCCCTCCTGCGCTGTCCCTCCACCCTACCAAGCATGATGTCCCTCTCCAAGGACCAGTCCCTCCTTACAACATGTCCAAAGTATGTTAGACGGAGCTTCAGAATCCTTGCCTTCAAGGTTTGACCCTTTCCAGGATGAATCTGTTTGTTTTCCTAGCCGTCCATTTTTTTCCCAGTCTGTGGCTTCCCTTTTTTACCCTTTTGGAGAATTTTTTTAAATGTGCATAGGGATTTTATTCTTAGAAAGTCCCATTCATCTATTTTATCCTCTCCTCATTTTTTCAGAATGCTTGGAAGACTGTTTATGTTGTGGATTAGGACTACTAGAGTTCTTCCAAGCTTTGCTCTAATGAAGTTTATAGTCCTTGGTTTTAGTCGTAGGCCCATGATCCACTTTGAGTTGTGACTTGTCATCTGGCAGCAGTGTGACCTAGTGTGGCAAGCAGTGTGGCAAGCGTGAATCTCTCTTAGATTCTTCTCCGCCCTCATCTGGTGACAAAAGAGAATGGTGTGGGTTTTTTAGATGGAAAGCTTCATCATTTCAATAATTTAAAACTGTTTTAAAGATAAACTTCAGAATGAGAGCAGGCAGGAGAAGAAAGCTGGCAGCATGGGGAAGAAAGCACATTTCTGCCAAATAATACAGATGCCATTCCAAAGGCTAGGAAAAAACACAAATTTCACAGTCTAGAAAAGCTAGATTACTGAGAATGTGTCTAAGAGAGAGAAACTGACTGACTGACTGACTAAACAGTTATCATTGAGATTTACTTCTGCAATTAACTTTTCCAAGAAGGTTTTTCTTCTCTAATAAGCAAATGATACTTAGCAAATTTGTTTCAGAAAAATTATATATTCCCTTTGCTTCCTGGTATGAGCCAGTTGCCTAAATCTAAAGAGGAATTGATGCCTTTGAACTGTGCTGGTACAAATGAATATGACATGTACCATGGACTGCAGGCAAAAGAATAGTTCTTAGTCAAGAACAGTTTCCTCTGGTGTGATGGATAATGCTGTTTTAAAAGATTAGGTGGGGTGCTATTATAAACACTTTATGGAGGGCAAGAGAAAGTGGCTTTATCCAAGGGTCACCTGCCACTGAATCCCACAGAAGGTTCCAAAAGAAGACTGGCTTTGTGTGGCCAGATCATCAACAGTCTTAAGAACCAGGCTGAGAAGATGGAACAGCTGTTCAAAGGGAGGATTACTGAAGTGATTTGATTTAGTGAAGCACTAAATTAAGATTGTCTTGATAATAAACACAAGAAAATTTGTCAGGGCAAGAAACTGGTGATAGAAGGAAGAAGCAGATGAGGTTCTGGTGATCCAAATCTCAACCTGAGCTCTCCTTTTGTATTAGGGTTAATGGTATTAAAGGTATTAACCTCTTTTCCTCCCATTTGCATGTGCTATTAAAATATTTCTCCTTTTTCTCTTAGAGTTTACAGATGCTTCCTCAGCAGCGGAAAGCCATAGCAAAATTTAAGGAGCCAGCACATGCATTAGCGTTTCAACAGAAATTCCACAGGTACCTCTGCAGGGATGGTCATTCAGGAGTGCGAGGGAGAGCCCCTGTCTGTGAGCCCTTTCTGTGTGGGTGGGTGTATACATAAAGAGAACAGAATCTTCATAAAATACTACATCTTTTTGTAATGTGGATAGTTAACTCACTTATTTTAACATAGGACTTATTTATAAGTCTGGAGGTTTTTTACTACAAGATTTTCTTTAATCAGGAAATACCATTTTGCTTTAGTTTCCTGTTACCTTGGTGAATTGTTGCTGATTGATTTGTTTTTTACATTTCCACAGGCATATGATAGATCTGTCCCACATCAATGTGGCTCTGATTGTTGAGTGATTTCTGACCAGAGATTCTGACCTGATGCTGTACACTGTGGAGTTTCTTCAAGAGAGCTTCTGGAGCAGAATCCTCAGATGTTAGCCCTTTTCCAGTTCCAACTTTGCATAACTGTTGCCTAGCGTAACAGACAGCAACAGGATTGACCCACGAAGAGCTGGACTTAGAGGACAGAGCAAACTGGAATTTGGTGTTAAATTTCTTTAAATTCTGTTGTAACCACAAAGAGCTACCATTTTTCTTTGTCTCTTGTTTTTCAAAGTGCTTACAGTGCATGTAAACATTGTTCTTCAAGATCTTACTGTGTGATCGATCACAGTGACTTAGATTCAGTAAAGAACATTAATGCCACAAAATCACAGTATTTTTCACAGCAAAGAATATTTGATAATGGTTGCACTTATCTTCAGTGCAGGCTAGATCGCAGTTTTCTCAGCCACACCTCACTTGAGTTGTCTTCTTAGGAAGACCTCAAAAAGTTCCTTGTGAAAACGTAAATGAAAATATGGGTGATTTTTGAATGACCTTTCCTATCCTGGAAAGCCAGGGTATGAGGGGTGGTTGGGAATGGTGTCAATTGAGGTGGGAGATTCTGCTTCTTGTGAATATTTCAAAAGCGCCAAGCTTGTGTTCCTAGTTCCAAGGAACTAGTACCCTTTTACCAGAATTCCCAAGTTAGATAAAAATGCTGGTTGGGCACCATTGCTATTCCCTCTGACTTAGAGAAAGACGTGTTTAGCCCTCTTATTTTGCATACCTTTGACAGAGTTCACTGGTAGTAGAGTTCCGTATTGATGGTGCACGATTGAGGAACAGCTTGAAGGTTTACCTTTTGATTTTTTTTTGGTTCCTCTTTTTAAATGCAGCCCAAGGTGGCAGATTCACGCCACTGGCATTGTGATATGTAGCATCCTGTGGTAATCTAGTTATCATTGTCGGATCACTTTTCTCCTTATCACTCTTTTTTCTCTCTCTGTCTTTTCTTTTTTATTTCTTTTGCTCCCCTTTTCGTTGTTTTGAAGGTCTTTTCGGCAGGAGTTGTGCTGTCCCTCAAAAGGCTGGATAGCAAATGGATTTTGACCTTGCTCTATAATGCTTTATGAGAAACAGATATAAGGTAATGGTTGTCTAATGTGAGAACATAACTTGAAATAAAATGTGTGTGTGTGCCGTCATAAAATGGCTTTTAATAACTTGGAGTAGGTTCCTTTAGGTGAGTGAGACACTTTTTCTCCTTGAAACGACCATTAGAAAAATTCAGTTAGGGCATATATTGGTAAAAAAGTGCCTTATTGTACTTCTGCTCGTGAATGAGTATCTCTTGTTCTCATGTTTTAGACCTATTCCAATGTGGATCTGAACTATTTGAGCAAGTAGGCCTCCTCAAACTTTTTAAGCTGTATTTTATACTTGAGACTCCGTTTCTGATTTCTTGACATCATTAAGGGATAGAGAAGCCTGTTGTCATATAAAGTTCAGGCTTACACAGTAAGGACCAGGGTGTTAGCATTGACACTCTGAAGTGAACGCATTCCTTCATGCCCTCCAGCCCCTCTGTGGGACTTAGAGGAGACAGAGTTCATGTGAACTCCTTTGATCTTGTTTTTTTTTTACAATTAAAATTTTTTATTATTTTTTCAAATTAAGTGACCAAAACAGAAAAAGAAGTTCCTAGAGAAGAATATTAAGACTCTTATAGCATTGTTTCTAAAAATAACATTAAGAGTCAGGCTAGCACGAGAAAGTAGTGGTGGTGGTGGTGATGGTGATGGTAAAGGGCTTTTCTTCAGAAGAGGTTGATTCCAGAAAGCTGTGGATATATGTCTAATATATTGGGATATATTAGAAAACCCTTTCTTTGAAAGTAAATTGCATGTAAAGTTGGCCATAGCTACTGGTGATTGGACATCAGAAAGTCCCTCACTAAGACTTGGTCAGTCGCATTGGATGTGTACCAACCAGCCTATTACATGCCTCTAGTAGTTTTGCAAATGAAAGCTTAGTGTGGTGTGCCCTTTATCTGACGAACAGGTTGTCACTGCCCACTGTTTTTATACCTGTATTAATATGTGTATATATTTTTTAAAATGTCGGTGATTTGGCTTAGTCCATGGAGCATTGCATTGAAACAAGTTAATGAATTAAATGTATAAGCTTTAATTTTAAGAGATCAGAACCACTCAGTATCTGAAATGAGCAGTGAGAAGACATCACAATTTATGGGCTTAACTCGTGTATTTAAGTCAGTTTAGCAAAATTTTGCCATTTCTGAAATAGTCTGAGAGTGCTCTGGCTTTGAAACCCAACATCTGAAATGTTAATTCTGAAAATTAGACATTTAATATCTTTTTTTTCCCTAGTTTGAGATAACAAAACTAAATACAATTAGGGACCAGGGTTTAAAACAGATTTTGAGACAGCTTTATGGTCTGTTTTTGGTATTATCTCATTAAGAAGGGCTGCCATGGGATTATGTATGTGTCTGTAACAGTCTACACACATACATGTGCTTAGCTTGCTCTTAAAATGTCCTTCATGATCAACAAAGTGGATCTTGAGTAAAGCGCTGGTTAGCTTTGTTGAGCTCAGTCCAGCCTCTCTAAGTACGCATGACCTTTGTAAATTAACTCTAATATAGACAATCCAAATAATAACAGTTTAGTTTCCTTGAAGGAAACTATCAAAAAAGGAAAGAAGCAGAATTAGAAAGTAGTTCTTTCCATTTCGGTGAATTTCTAGCAGATAAATCAGACCACCTTAAGCTGAACCCTCTTCGAAGATCTGTTGCAACCATTATCTTTGTTCTTTTATTTATCAATGCAAAACCATTTAACACACTATGTAAATATGGACCTTTTGAAATTAAAATGTTATTGAAAATGCTTTTCAATTCAACAACATCTTAGCTATTTGTTAGTTCTTTTATGTTGTCTTATCAAAGTTCAATGGATATAGTTCCATAATCGTTGATGTGTTTGTGTGTATATTTGATTTTTATAAAGATGGTAGTAAGTCAATACATTTATCCTGACCTGTGTATTATTTGTCACAAGTTCAAAAAGCATAAAGCTAGTGAATATCGATATATCTCATACTTTAAATACAACAGGTGATTATGTGAAGCCAAGTTATTTTTCTCTTTCTTTTGCGTTACCTTGTTTTGATTTTTTGCTGTAATATGCAAGTTCCCTTAGCTCCTTAATTGGACATAACCTTGCCATTATCATTGGTCTGGATACATTCGTTTGGGTTATTATACAAGTAGTCTTTTAGAGGAAAAATTTCATCCCTTTTTTCCAGAAACCATTTTCAGGACTTCCCCTGTTTCTGGACAGGTAGCATCCAAGTAGTGGTTTGGGCCCCAGCCTCCTTGGGGGGAAGTTTATGGGATGGATTGTTGGGGTGGGGGAGTGTCAGTAGCAACTCTTTTTGTTTTGATAGTTTTTGTCGTGATTTGTAAAGGTCCTGGGTAAACGTTGTTCACTTTTGGTTCTGTGGCATTTCTAAACTGTGACAGAGCTCAGATTGTGCACCCATGGATCGGTCTTGGCTGACATTTTGCATAATTCTGAAAACAGAAGTCTTTGTTACAGGAGGAGGCTGGGGAAGTTGGTTAGGTTAAAGGGGAGGGAGAACAGGGAAAGGAGAATGTTGTAGAGTGGAAAAATGCCAATACAAATGTTAATAAAGAGCATTTTTCTAACACGCTTCCTCGAAAGGGGAGTTCTTCAGTCAAGTAGAGAAAACGGACATGTGGGGAATGTGATAGCTGGTAGTGTTTGTAGAGGACTTAACGAAAGGCTGGCTCCTCATTGTCCTTAGCAGCCATCAAGGCCGTCCTCAGCCGCTTTTAACGTAGTAGGTTATCAGTTAAGCTCTTAGTAAAATGAGGGCATGATTGGCTCATGTGGTAGTAATAGAGAAACAACCTACGGTTTTCTGCTTCCTCCTAGTGGGACTGATTTTAAGAAATTATCACCCTTTTGTTTGGTTGGGGTTTTGTTGGGGTTGTTTTTTTTTGTTGTTTTTTTTTTCTTTTGGGGATTTTTTTTGGGAGAGGTGGTTTTGTTTTAATGTCTTTGTTATTTCGCTGGGCTGGTAAGACCAACATGCTCATAGTCCTGTTGGGCTGCTGGGAAGTAACATGTTGAAGCTCCAGTTACACATAGTGACCCAGTTGCACAAAAGCAAGGAGATGTGGATGTCATCACGCCTTCGCTGTTGGTCTTGCCTGGCGTAGTGTGTGGTAGGTCTAGGTGTTTCCCTCCTGCTGCCTCCTCTCACTGGAGAGACACAACCCCTGGTTGTCCAGAAGACACTTCCCAGTGCATGCTGGCTACATGGCTTTTGGCTGCGGTCATTCTTCATCGCCCCTCCAAGGCATCTGCTCCTTTTCCTCCCTTTCTGCTTAGAGGACTCAGTTCTGTCTTCAAGTTATTTTAGACCCAGTTTTACTTTCTTCCATTAAGGTTTCATTAAAGTGTGACTGTCTCCCTGCCCTCTCTTTTTTGGTTTTGTCTTTGGTTGGTTGATGATTATTTGAAACAAGAGGAGCTGGGAATAAGAGCAGGCAGGTGGGGAGATAGAAAATCTGAAACTTTTTTTTTTAAGTTATTTATTCTAAAAGAGAAGGAAGGAGTAGAGGATATAAACTGGGAATGGGGGACCCACTGTGAAGAGAACCACAAGTTTAAGGGGGTCAATAAAAGGGAAAGTTAGATAATTGTATTGTATTTCATGAACATTTCCATTGACCTTTCAACTCTTTTTCCAAACTTGTAAGTAAAGTGTTATTTCGGACTTTCTTAACTATGAACACTCCAAAGGCACTTGGCCTTGATCTAATACTAAATCCTAAGGATTTTATGTAAGGTTTTTTTGCAACCTGTTGGATTTTTATCATTTAAAATGTCTAACTTCTTAGGTGCATAAGCCCATGGTTTTATGTGCTAGAATAAAAGCAGTAAACCTCACTGATTCATATTGGATCCACAGGTATA